AGAGAAATCTGAAGGAAGTTGTCTCTTTCACCTACCTGCACAGGCAACATCCTCTCAACTACAGGTGAGGGTGACACAGATGAGGATGTCGAAGCCAGAATCGGAAACACAGCAAGACAGGCCTTCATCAATTGGAAATCAGTGTGGAGACCTACTGCACTCCACTACACTCAGCATAAAGCGTGAACGAGATTCGGATTTTCCACACTAATTCAGTCAAGTAAGTCAGTGCTTCTATGTGATGGTTGAGAGACTTGGAGCCTCACGAAAAGCATTTCCATCAAACTATGGACATGCATGAACAGCTGCTGCCTACACTCACTCGATATTGAATGAAGATCAGATAGATGGCCAGAATGATAAGAATGAGCAACAAGGAACTCTGGCTGGCTGGCTGGTTGTCTGGCTGGCTGGCTGGCTGGCTGGCTGTCTGGCTATCTGGCTGTCCGACTGGCTGTCAACCAACCAACCAACCTACCAACCTACCAACCTAGAATCCATCGCCCAACAAACATGTAGAAGAAAGTGGAGACGGAGATGGAGATGGAGATGGATTGGATTGGACATACACTGAGAAGAGCGTTTGAGGACATCACGTGTCAGTCAAGGCCGTTGAGTGGAATCGGAAGGGGAAAGGTCGAGTTGGGCGTTCGAGGTGAGGTTGATATGGAGGAGATGGTGTGAAGAAGGAATGAAAGGTTGTGGTGTGTGGTGGAGCGAGATTGAGAAGACTGTAGAGAACAGAGTGTAGTGGAGACGTGCTATTGAAGTCTTTTGTTTCACTATGGACCCAAGTGATTAGAAATTTTATTAGCAGTAATAATAATTCAAATAATAATAATTTCCTATTGTTGATTTTCTTGATGAGAACCAATTTTTTGAAATCGTTTTTAGTTTGATTCCACCATATATGTCAAAAGACTGCATTGTAGCATTTTTCACTTCGTGAAAACTAAAAGTCATGAACAATAATACGGGTGGAATGCCCAGGAGTACTTTTACGTTATTCCGGTTCCGATCGACTGTATTCAAATTGCTGTAAGATACTTTAATGGACAAAATTGACTCTCATCTCTAGATAGGTTGCCTATGATGCATTAAGTCTAATTATGTGAAAATCTTTGTGAATACGAATAAAGATGACGTTAGAAGTTTATTCTATAAGACGAAAATTTCTTCCAAATATCAAAGCAGATGGCATCGGAATTCAGCTAAACAGATTCCATGGTACAAGACCAAGGAAAAACCATTTTACATTAATCTAAGAAAATGCGAAACATTTGGTGAATAACATTAGATAGAATGGAATCCTTTTTTGAAGCCAAATCTGCTAGAAGATTGTGTATTTTAATCGAGAAAAGGTACATATAGTAAGCTGTCATACCTGTGAAATAGCTTACTGAATACTTTTTCTGGTTGTAAACTTGGTTTCAAGCTTTTGTTTGCGGCAAAGATGGTAAACCACAAAAGTGAGCTTCTTTCCAGTATTACAGCCGCTGGTTTTAAGGTATAAATTTAACGACGAATTCCCATAATGCTTCTCTAAATGAACGTCCTTCCCACAACTTGAGGGTTTTTCAGTGAATTTAACAATATCATAGGTTGGCTCCATTCTCTAGTATCAAAACAGAATAGCTAGGTCAAGCGCATGTAGGCTGCTATATACAACAGGAGCCGATGTGGAAGGCAGTCGTGTTTAGTTCTTATTTCAGCAATCAGTAGAGTTCGAAAAAGATATAAATTAATTTTTTTCGGGATACCTACTTGCTATGGAAGCTTTAAATGACGTATCATCACCCATATAACATTTCAAGTCAAACTAAGTGAATACTTTTAGGGTAACTCTAAGTTTCTGAAGCTAAACTTTTTTCTCATGAGTTTCTTATAAGAAGTTTTAAGCCTCAATGTTGTCTGTTGAATTTTTTGGATCATATGAAGCCCACTTCCTAGCCTAACAGGTGTATATACATACTCCTTTATTCTTTATGAGACGGTGTTTGTAAATAGCATTCACTTGAGGAAAGCTACACACATGCTACATGTGTGCATTTTCTACTAGTGGATTTCATATCCCAAACCTGAAAAACCGTCTACGTAAATTTTTCATTATGTAGTCAGTGTTTTTTAAATTCATCACTGAGAAACTCAAAAAAAAAACTGCATAGCCGCAAACATCTTAGATAAAAAGTGTATTGTTGCTTTTCTTCAAACTATACATCTGTGCTTCGTAACCTAAAAGTTTTTCATAAGGAAATTGCCTAATAGACAAATCAATGGACCACTGTTTGTCACACCTTCAATTTGATGCTTTAGTGAATCACCTAAATTTAAGTGAACATACTACGATCAAACCAAAAGAAGCCATATTAAAGAACACGTGCAGTGTTGAAAAGTATATTCTTAATAGGAGGAAATGTTTTGAGGTTATATGATTTCTACTTCAGGGAGCAAACCAACAGAATATTGGATTAACAAGATGCGAAACCAAAGACATTGATATGAAATTTGCAAATTATTATTCCCAGTGGTTCAGTCGTTCACAAAAATAAGCGTACTATGTCTTGAAGTCATGGAATCTTCTTCTAGGCATGGAATAAAATAAGTGTTTGTGTAACCACGTACTTATAATAATTTGAGCGAATTTCTCTCAGACGCTTCCAACAAGACAACATAGCAACCTCGGTAGGGTTACTGCACGAAATCGAGTAACTGACATCTGATGATGTTAGATGATGTTTATAGCTGTACACGTATTGACAGACCCCCAATCCACCACAAAAAAAAGAATAAGGAAAAATTGTTTTTGCATCATTGCGTAATAAATCTAATTCAAGTCTAATCACCACACTTATAACTGTTGAACTTTACGCGAAATTCTCAAGAATGTTCACGAGGGTAAATAAACTCATACGACATAACTATATGTTAAAATTCAATATCTTTTTTAGAAAAAAGTGTAGGATAGTTTGTACATATTTTTGATCTGGTCTGCGTAAAAGGTCGGGTTGAAGTTTATTTCAGATATGTTTACAACCACTTAATATTTTAGATTACGCTCAGTTTCTCTATAAAGTTTAACAGGCTACTTATAGCCAACTGTGGTCAGTTTACAGACCTCACAGAAACTGCCATCATATTTTCATCTTTAACAACGGGAATAACCAGACATTATGCGACTTAGGTATGTCAAGACTAACAATGACTCGCCTAACGTGTGCAATTATCACCTAAAAAGTTTGTTAGGTAAACGGTATGAAGTTAGTTCCATCTCCATGTACTCATCAAAATACTGTGAGATAGCTTGGAAAGAAGGCTTTCTTATTCATAAATAATTCTATATTACCTCTTCTGGCGAGGATTAAACCCAACAAAATCTAGGGGATAGATAAATGAGAAAATAGAAATTGACTTCTTAGCAGTTTGTTAAGAACGACACCTGTTTTTATCTTCATATTTTCGAATTAATGTGAAATTTAGTTGTTAGATAGCTTTCAGTACTTTAAATGTTAAATTTGTCGCGTATACGAAAGCCTTGAAGGAAAGAATAGGGATCTCCCTACCTTGACTTTACCGAAGTTTGAAACAGAACTGGCTTTGTTTTTCAACGTAAAACTGAGAAGTGACTATCATTAAAAATGGTATTCAAATATTTTAACATGTATATGATTTCAAAGTTTGGAACATCCAAATTTCAGCAATCACTACAGACTGCAGAGGTTAAGTGCATAGTTATCTACTGTTTATCAATCCAGCTTATTCAGTAGCATGCCTCATAACTCTGTTGAATATTTCATGGTTTATAATGTAAAATTTCCGAAAGTTCTTGAATTCTACTTTGTATGCTCACCATGTACAAATATCAATCACATCTAAGCAACCTAAAACTTTTATAGCCTTAAAAGGTGCTAAAACCTGTGGATGTGAACTGAGTTGAACTTAATGATTTCTCAATTTATAAGAAATGTTGCTTCAATCAACACTTCTATTGCTTTGATAATTATTCGGTTACGAAACATTTGATTTGACTATCTTCAGAGTAACCCTCATCTAAGCTAATCTGTCGATAAATTTGAGTTCTTAAAAGTGTGTTTTATGAATAGACTTAGTGATCTAAATTCGAAGATATTCGAATGGAAAACCTGAACGTAGGCTTTGTGCTTGTTGGTATTGATAAGCGAGGTATACTTTTAGACATAAGGAAACTCGTGTTATTTTGGGGATAAGCATGTGCCGCGCTCAGGGCAACAATCAAAAGCTTTAGGATTGAGTAATAGCAAAAGTTTTGGCTGACTCTTTACATCTAACATCAGAGTACAATGCTTCCCAGTGGCATATCACCGAGGTCAGTGGTCGACTAACTTCTGTAATTGCTCATCACTAAGTACCAGGCAGCTAAACTGCTTAATCATTGATGATTCAATTCGCATCAGTGACTTTCCGTAAACTTAAATAGGCTACTCATGGTTTTCTCATCAATCAACTATTATGTGGAAAATACCAATGTACTAATTTGATGATAATTATTAGGAGCTGTGTTCAGAAATACAATTCCATAAGCATATTTTTGATACCATGGAAAACTGTATACAGCAAGTTTAACTCCATGCAAATAGGACAGTAAATAAAATATGATTACAAAAACTTTTATCCACAGACCTCAAAACTACAATTATTTACTTGCCAACTAGCAAAGCCGAGATTAAAACTTTTTTAGCTGATCATAAGCGATTTTTAGGTAAGATGTCATTGTGTTCCCGGATCATTTCTCTAAAATGAAGGTACAATCATGTTTCATATTGTGATGACATTTGTTGAAATTAAAAAAGTTTTTTACTGTGAAGAAATATATGGGTGATTTATCTTTATTCATCTTTCAATATCGATGGTAGGCATATTTTGTATATCATACGAGAACATCTAATAAGTAATAACTTGAATAGATATCCACTGTTACACCTATGAACAAACCGAAAATGAATTAAGAATGCATTCTATGGTCATCAGGTAAACTGTTTCACCCGTGATTCACTTTTAATTTTTATTGTAGGTGAATAAATATCCTCTTGGTGACTTTGTATGGGACTTCCATCTCTGCTCATTAGACCATTCATGTGAAATTCTTGACGTGCCAGAAACATATAGACAGGTCCACTTTTGCCTACAGTTAATCCTTCATGCGGATCAAAGCAAATGAATGAAACATTGTCCAAGATCTCAGTGATAGGCATGTCATACTGTATCTCAGAAGTTTCTGGTGAATTTTCACGGGGAAACGAAAGTATGATTGGAGATGGTTGTTCAGAATCTTGTTTACGTTGACTTATACGTATTACTTGTAAGTTATCCAAACATACTTCAGGAGAATCTTTGAGAGGAGATATTGATATGTGATCTGGTGAATCTTGTAACACACTCACAGTCGGTAAGGTGGGAACAGAAGTATCTGCAGCATCAGTTTTAACTCCAGGTGTTCTATCTTGATCTTCTACAGCCTCTTCCTTAGTTGGCACTACTTCATTTGCTTCATTTTTTTGCGGTGACGTAACATACCTCAAAGCATAAGCATTTCTTAGTAATTTGTCCGGATCATATATAGCCTGCATCAATAGATGCTTTATTCTTTCAACATTAGCTGACGTTTTACACTTATATATTTCATAATACTTTTTAGCGCTTTGTTGTAAATCGATACATAACACAAAGAATTTAGGTCTGTAAGGATTTGTATATATATGCGTTATTTCCTTATAAGAAACCCACGGGCGAAATGGTAATCTTCCTGACATTTAATACGCTGCAAGCAAACCGGTCTTCAAGTAAACAGGCAGTACAATGAGACTGTCTTTTCTTACGGTGCTTTTCAATATAGGCTGAAGCAGTAGTTTCGGAAAATCCAATCATATTGTTCACAGTCACTCGATGGATTGTACAGATATGGGTTTCTAAGAATAGAAGTTGTTTGTTTAGAACATGATGAAGTACTTCATCAATAAACATAGAACTTTCACTTCGACGCAGACTATTGTTAACATAACCGCTATCACTAGTCATGCTATTATTATATTATTATTCTGATATAGCATCCTTCTTAAAGATGTAAAATATGAAAAGTGATGGTATAACACAGACAAAATCACAAATTCAACATTATCAAGTAGGAATTTGAGTTATCTATTATTGATTAGGTGTTTGATGCTTGGAATATCAACTCACTAACTGGATGACTTGTGAATAAGGAAAAAATCACAAATGAAATATTATAATTCAATACAACCAACCCGTTATATAATGGTTGAGGAAATGTACTGTTAAATCATGAAGATGATTTAGCACAAATTCATATTTTTAAAGTTTCCATTAATTCTTTCACTCTCTTGTTCTTATTAACACTTTATAACGAAATATTTTTGAAATTTTTAAATCTGTTTTGATAGAGTGGAGGTATTTACATGTGTATCAATAAAATATACTGCACATACAAGTATACAAACATGCAATAGTAATAACACAATATTGTCTACTTTATCATTAACTTTCTTTATAAATAGTCACATGATTCGGCTTTTTTAATCTACTTTTTAAACTTCATGTACTCGACAGAAAGCTTTAACAATTTAATTCAGATAGCTATCATCGAATTCGAATGGCATAACACGTATCAACAGATGACATATACTTAGGAACAACCACAACTTTTGGGCTTTTAAAGGACTCTTGCATTTCACTTTAGGATATCTTCACAATGAACGTCTCCGACCGAATGAGATGAGAAATAAACGACCTTAAAGTTTCAAAATGAGAGATTTGATGACGAAAGTACTTAATGGAAAATTTTTTATTATCTACTTTAAAGGTTGTATAAATTTGGGCAAAGTACAAAGCGACAGGCATTTAGTTGAGTTTTCCTCCTAACTTAGTCGGTTCAAAAATGTATACAGCAGTTAAAATTGAAACGTGAATTATGTGAGACTTCATCTTTACTATAATTATTATTATTATTAATTTTCCTTAAGGTTCCGAGTGGAACATAATGTTTCAATAGCACGTCTCCACTACACTCTGTTCTCTACAGTCTTCTCAATCTCGCTCCACCACACACCAAAACCTTTCATTCCTTCTTCACACCATCTCCTCCATATCAACCTCACCTCGAACGCCCAACTCGACCTTTCCCTTCCGATTCCACTCAACGGCCTTGACTGACACGTGATGTCCTCAAACGCTCTTCTCAGTGTATGTCCAATCCAATCCAATCCATCTCCATCTCCATCTCCATCTCCGTCTCCACTTTCTTCTACATGTTTGTTGGGCGATGGATTCTAGGTTGGTAGGTTGGTAGGTTGGTTGGTTGGTTGACAGCCAGTCGGACAGCCAGATAGCCAGACAGCCAGCCAGCCAGCCAGCCAGCCAGACAACCAGCCAGCCAGCCAGAGTTCCTTGTTGCTCATTCTTATCATTCTGGCCATCTATCTGATCTTCATTCAATATCGAGTGAGTGTAGGCAGCAGCTGTTCATGCATGTCCATAGTTTGATGGAAATGCTTTTCGTGAGGCTCCAAGTCTCTCAACCATCACATAGAAGCACTGACTTACTTGACTGAATTAGTGTGGAAAATCCGAATCTCGTTCACGCTTTATGCTGAGTGTAGTGGAGTGCAGTAGGTCTCCACACTGATTTCCAATTGATGAAGGCCTGTCTTGCTGTGTTTCCGATTCTGGCTTCGACATCCTCATCTGTGTCACCCTCACCTGTAGTTGAGAGGATGTTGCCTGTGCAGGTAGGTGAAAGAGACAACTTCCTTCAGATTTCTCTCGTTCATGGTGATTAGTGATTGTTGTTGTTATTGGTTGAGTATCTTCATCACCTCTGTCTTCTCTACATTCACTTAAGTCGCGTATTCGCTGCCTCTTCTATCAACTTGTTAGAAGCCTTGCCAGGTTCATACATGGTGTGGACATTCCATGTCTCCCTCATTACTTTCGCTTTCTTCATGAGAAGACACATCGGCCAACTGGCTTCCCAACGGCTTTCAGCAACCGGCGTCATTTCGCCTCCCTGATTCCAGCGAGGAATAATATTGTTTCTATTTTTATATTTTGTTTGTGCTTTGAAGTTTGTTTAGCGGTTGGATTAGTTTCCCGGGGTAGGATTGCTAGCTCTATGTCCAACCTGCCCTCTTTATCCGGGCTTAGGACCGGCTATTATATATTTTTTTTGACACACTAAAAACTCACTGCTATCTTTTAAGCTCTAATGTTGCTACAATAAAGTATCTTAAGTTAACTTTTGACTACGAATCAATCTCGTCTCAACTCAAGATGCGATTAGAGGTGCTGATAATCTATTATTATGCGGAGATGGCCAATGAAAACTTCTTTTCAGTGTTCATATATCTTTTCAATGCTTTTCAAGATTAACCTAATTGCTTCTAGTTATGCAGTGTTGTTTAACTTTCTAACCTACATTAACTATCATTGTCCACAAAACATTCACAAGATGAATGTAGATAATGAAGAATAGGAAATTCTACGAGTTTATGACTAATCAATAACAGGAGTTTGTAGTCGTTTTATCCTTACAAAAAATCTGCTTTAGCAAAGCTGAGGTTAAAAAAAACTAAGTTTCCGGCCAGGATAAATTATGGTTCCTTTCGATTCCTTCAAATATCGTTTTGAATCTTTATTTAAAAACCTGGAAAAATGAAAGCTTATAAGTGTTAAACTTGGGCATCGTGGTTGAATGTAATTCCATAGTAGATTTGTTTATTTGATTTATAATACTGTATCACTCTGTATCATGAACCGTATGAACAAATCTAATACGGAAAGCTTATAATACAGTTAAGAAGTAAATACCTTACAAAATTCAGTAGAGAAGCTAGGGATATATTTCAGTAGATGTTTATTTTGCTATCTTTTAAATAAATACATTAAAAATCTCTGGTTAAAAGTTTATTCGTTTACACCAGCGATAAGTTTATGCAATAGGTGTCAGTCCACTCTGTTGAAAGTACTAAAAATGATATTTATTCTATGACAGGTGACAATAGCATGCCTGTTTAAAAACTAATTAGGATATCCCAGTTTATAATAGCTTTATCGGTTTACTTTGTTTTAGTAAACATAGTTGCATCAGGTTTTTTTTTGAAAATTTAGACACTTAGCTTTCAGTACAGTCTTATGACAGAATAACGCCTTATTCTTTTGTAAGTTTGTGGGTATGGGCTTTGTGAAATACTTAGTAAAAGCTGTTGACTGTGTTCTGGAAACTACAGGTAGAAATTTCCTACGCATAGTGTTCAGTTCGGAAGTTTATGAGGATTTACTCACTGATTTTGGGTTGATATTCATCACTTACTGACATCTCTTGGAGAAACATTGGAAATCTGGGAGCACTGAACAGCTATCTCATCCTAGTACAGGACTCCTCAAGAGTGCACATCCGTAAACCCACCTGAGGTCGAACCTCAAACCTCCAGGTCTTATGATAAGCATACACCTATTGAGCCGTGTCCGTCGACAGGAAATCGTGGTTCGTTTCATATCATTTGATTGACTCTGGTCACATTTTCTATCGTTCATTGGTAGTGATATCTTTTTAGCAACCCATTTATACTGAAAGGCATGTGGATATCATCAAGTTGATCAGGACATTTCATGCTTTATATATGTCTCAAATTATATCCACTAAATTATTTACTAATTTTCATATCATAAATGCTATGATGTTTTTGTATCGTCTAATATTCTAAGTATTAATATTCTGATTCTATTCTGTTCTATTTACTGGATGATTTGTCTTCTAGTGAATTAAAATATAATGAGTTTCTGATGGTGGTTTGGTGTACTTTGAGCTGTAATGTTTTGGCGTGAACTTCTTAATGAAGCTAGTACTGAAGATGTCACCAAGCCTAGTGATGAGACGTTCACGACAAAATATCAAAGCTCAGAGAACACCAAACCACCATCATCCTCATCCTGAGCTACAAATCTTCTCCTTCATTTCATAATGAGTTTCTGTCAAGATACGATAATTTGGTAGTTCAGGCTTTAATAATATTATGACAACCGGACGAAACAAAATATTACAATTTTTATTTTGTATAGAGCAATGGACATTCCATTTTTACTAAAATGAGCATCTTATTGTTTAGAACTGGTAATTTCTTAGTCAATCCATATGCACTTCACACTTACTCCTAAAGTTTCATTTTTTGTTTCTTAGTTTCATTCCTTTTTTGATTTGAGACGGTGAAAAGTATTTTCCCGTAGTTTATAAAACTACTAATCTCTTCTCATTTATGTCAGTGTGTCTCCAGAAACACTTTTCCACGAAGTGAAACAAATGATTACCTGAAGTCTGAGAATAACGATCAGATTGTTTAAATTTGCTGAAATGGGTGAGCTACACGAAAATACTGAAATTTGTTGTTGCTGTGGTGGTAATGAATCTCAGGAATTTTATCCAGTCAATAATTGTTCGTGTACTTCTTGAAACATTCAAAAATGAAAACTTGAGCAGTAAGTTATTCCTTTCTAAACATGGTGTTCGTCAAGAATCCAACAAAACAGAATACCTACCAAGATACTGACTATTTGTATAAGCGGTGACTGATTCTACTCCTTTCTTCTTCAGTCTATTTTAGTCATAATTGGGTATCTACTCACAAACTTCAAGATTTAATGGTCTGGGAGTCAGCTATTTCTAGTTATCAGTATTAAATATTGAGTTATTATTTGGAGAGTACGCACGCAAATTTACACTGAAACCACGACTGTTTTATAA